GGAGCTGGAAGCTGAGAACTGGCGACTTTGTAGTACAACTTTAGCACGCGGATGGTCATCTCTCGCGGCTGCTCTGGCGCCCCTGCAGCTGAGTCATGTCTCCCGACCACCCGGCTCTCTTGAGAGGTTGACACACACACAGAGACCCACGCACTGCCTCAACTTACTCGGACACACACACAGAGACAGAGACTCATACACACACAGACATTCATACAAACACACAGAGACCCACACACTGCCTCAACTCACTCGACTTAACACTTCACACTGAACACTTAACAGATAACTCACACTCTGACTTCCTACGTGATGAAAAATGCTTTCGGGCCACTCGTCGTCTAGTTTTAAATAGACAACCATTCTGCTGGATTTTATAGAAAAGTAAATTGCTCAACTTTTCGTTACAAGAAAAACACCCGGCGTAAAAAATCATAAGATTATCGTAAAATGTTCAAACAGTCCTGAATTCATAAAATTGTCATACCACTTTCCATAATTGTTTCATAAACTGTTCATAACATTCGAGAAACATATTACGAAAACTTTATGAAACAATATGAAGCATGGTATTATGGTATGGAATAAATTATGTTTTGTTAACAGGGCTAGTTTGTTCTTGTGTGTTTTTGATGTCACAAATTTGGTAGTTTGGGTTTCATTAAGGCAAAAGTAATGAAACCATTACATTAAACACAGTTTCAATGATTTGGCCTTATACCAAACTCGTTGGGTCTCAACTCTAAAATATCCAGCACCCATTAACATCATCCAGCATGCATCGGCCCACCACTCACTTACGACGACACTTTTCACATCATTTGCGACGACACTGAGCACGTTTTTAAATGCTTTTTAAAGATCACTTGCGACGACAACAGCATCACCAGCATCATGGGTGGGGTGGGGTGGGTGGGGGGTTGGATTGGGGTGGGCTAACGGAATGATTGGCCCATGGCCACATCATCATCTTACGTCCGTGCGCAACCAATACACACAGTCCTCTATGGTCTGATGTGGCCATTTCTCCGCGATCTGAGGCTGGTGGGGGGAGATCTAATGGAATGATTGGCTCGTGGCCACATCATCACATCTGACATCCGTGCACAACCGGCACACGCAGTTCTCTATGATCTAATGTGGTCCTCTGATTAATAAACGCAAAGCCTCACCTGCATCGGTCATACAATGCCATGCATCATATGACCAGTTTGTTCGACATGTGTGCTGTGTGCGTTATCTATATAGGCTAATGAATGCAAATGAGTCGAGTCATTTCGGCTATGTGGCTGATGTTCATGTCCCTTTTTTCTACAACAAACTCAGGCACCCAAGATTGTTCAAATTGGATTATATACGGGACTATCAAGCTGAGACACTTGCCTTGGCATATCTTGGCATGCTCTGGGGCAGGGGGGGAGCAAAACTTGTTTTGATAATTTTTGAGATATAATAAAGCTGTCTTCTTGAGTGACTGGGATTGGCATTGTGCAGTCTCCATCAACTGGTCAACACATCCAACTGCCAAAAACACGTACAGTATCACCCATGATCATCAGCCATGGGCCCTGCATGGAATGTGGGTTGGTTGGCCTGGCATACGAGCAAAAGCTTTTTCAAGGTACAAACCCTGCCTGTGTGTCAACTTCATCTTGCGTGGGCCTGCACCGCTGACTACGAAGCTCCCATGATCGAGCATTCATTCTGGACTTCAGCCCATCGCACAATATGCGACTGTCTCTGGCACAGTCAATTGACAGTCGCTCCCTGCCTTGTAGACCCAGACTCTTCCGAGCCTGCCTTAGATTCAATCAACCAGCAGTTTGCCTGACTACCTTCTCGGACCTTTTTCAATGCAGTTTGGCAAGCAGGTTTCACCACAATCATCATAATATCGATTTAGCTGGACAAGGTGGACACCCAAACTGAATCAAACTGAGAGGATTTTTCTTGCCACACACTACACATTATTAATCATTATTACTAGTAACAAGTAACAAGAAGCTACTAGGGGCTCCTGGCCGTACTAGGAGCAAGTAGCTACTAGTAACAAGAAGCTATTACTGTACTCTAATCCAAAAGTCTGATCCACAAGGAAGGGTCACGAACGAGGCGTCCTCCAGAAAGGCATCTTTGCACCAGGTTGCTCGACGTTGTTGCCGTTCCAGCAGCACTTTTTTGTCCGAACACACGCACAGACTGCCGACTACGAGAGCGGCCTTTGACAGGACTCCTCGGCTGCCATTGGAAGAGCTTACAGGGTCGAGCCACCTTTAGAACCCCTTCTGCGGTTGTCAGTGCAACGACGGAGTGTCAACCTTGTGCGAAACAAGCAATGCTCTGCAACCACCAGCCCAAATTATACCGAATCTTCCAATCTGTATATATACTTACACACACATAATATGTATATATATATAGGTATATATAATATATGAACTCAATGCACTCCAGTACCGCTTGAAGGGATTGTTGGGCTGCACATCCATGATGTGCAGCATGTATCAGCATGTCATCTGATCCGATGATGCCTTGCTCGCCAAGTCACTCTTCTTGCATTTGTGGCGGGCCAACCTCAAGACCAATCACCAGCTCACACAGGCCACTTTGTAATGTGAATGAATTTGGTCTGCAAGCTGGTTTGATGCA